AATACTTATCATGGACTCTATTTTATACTTTATCCAAAACGGTTTATTGGTCATGGAGATATTAAAGATCAGATTTGGCACTTTATCATTAACACGTTCAGCCGAGCTTTAATGCAGAGCGCTACGGCGTTCTAGCATTCTTGATTTGATAAAACAACAAAATATGGGTTAACTATTTATTGCTTCGTCTGCTTCGAGACTGACGACATGAGCAGATCGGATAAATTTGATATTTCCAACATGCCAATTTTTCTATATTATGCATATTTATCATAAAATGCATATTTATCATTGTATTTCGTCCAATTCTGATAAAAATATTTTTTCCAAACAAATTATACTTTTAAGTTTTGAAAAGATCAGTAAAGAAATGTGAAATATTTTTAGTATGAATTTTTATATTAAAAATGTCGACAAAAATCGTATTATTTTTGGTCGAAGTCTGATTTATTCTTAACAAAACAGATGGCAACATTAAATTGCATTAAATTTTACAAGAATCTTGTGACTGATTAAACGAAAGTTTTCTTTTTAAAATGCCTGTTTTTTAAACAAAAAACATAACTGACGTTGAATATCGTACAATAATACGCGATCGTATATAATATTTTGACTATAACTAGAGTGTTTGAATTTTTCAAGTGATGTGAAATTATATTTATGAAGTGTAAGATGTAACTTAAGAATTCTAACGTCATAGCAATATTTATCTTACTGTTATCTCATCTCTCTCTTTTACCTTATTTATGCTTTTCCCCATTAAAATTATACTTCATACTAACTTTCCTGTCCTGTATATTTAAATAATCTATCTATGACAAATTAAACAAGAGGAATGCTCTGATTTTTATTGTTTAATTTTAAATTAACACTTTTTGTGATTTGGCATGATAAAAATTAATAATATAATAAGTATTTTTACTATTTTGTTCCTTAATGTTTAATTATAAAAAATTGTAAAATTTTAAAAATCAAAAAGTTCAAATTGACATACTTTATAAAACATAAAATAAATAACATTAGCTAATAATATAAATACATAGGGAAAGGTTGCTCAAGTCGTACCCGATAAAAAAGCCAGCATAAATTGTAGGATCTATTAAATAAAAAAGAATTATTTGTTTAATTTAAAACTTTTGTGAACGTTGTTGTTATTCATTATGATAAAGTTCGAATTACCTGAACCTTTTTACATGAAATTAACAAAACTTATCAAACTAAGGTCGGTACGACTAAGGAAATTAGTTTCCTAAGTTGTTCTTTTTCTTAGGTATTACTTAAGCTATAAATTACCATTTATAGCTTAAAGCCAAATTAGCTTAAACAGCTAATAGCTTAAACAACTAAAGCCTATATTTCTTAATTTTTTTTCTTAGGTATTACTTAAGCTATAAATTACCATTTATAGCTTAAGTAATACCTAAGAAAAATATTAAGAAATATAGGCTTTAGTTGTTCTTGTTTAAGTAATTTATTTGAATACAAATATTTTAAACACGTTTCCGTCGCATTTTCAGTTATTACAAACATCGCAAACATATTTCTTTGTTTTTTTTGTCAATTTCAGTACATTCGTTGATCATGCACCCGTGTCTTACGTTTTAAGCACTGAATCATGCATTCCTCACGATCTTCTGCACAAAGATTACAAAACCAATCGCTGTTCCTTATTTTTCTTTGCTTTTATCTTTTTAACATTCGTTGTTTGTATCTTCCAACTGCTCATTTCCTTTTATAAGGTATTTTCTGCTATTGCCATTAAAGTTGCCTCTGGAGTGTGTAAAGACAAGGAAGGGTTAATCCTCGACGATGACGTCGTAGAGTTAGTTTAGAAATTTTATATTGTCTGTGTGCTAAATTAAATGCTTAATTAATATTACATGTTACTGCGTAATGCTTAATGCCTCGTCGATATCTTATTGTTTCTATTATAAATTCTTGTGTGATACGCTTCTTGTCTTGTGTTCAATTATACTAGCGCTAAGGTGGCTTTTTTTGTTTTTGCTAGACTTATTATAACATCAGTAAAAAGAGGACAAACTTTAGAAAAACTTTTTATTCCTTTGAGAATGCATTTCGAACAATTGTGTCCCTTTTCAACTCTGCGTGTTACAACTATATAGGGAAAAAATTACATACAAGTTAGCATAATGTATACAAGTTTGTACAAAAAACGTCGTGATGTTACAAATTTGTAGAAGAAGATTGTAGAATATTTTTATTATATCCTGTATCTCCGCAGTTCTATCAGTTTCGTGAGTATTCGTCGTAAGATTTTCTCAATGTACATGTAAAAGATGTTTTTTTTTTATGTAAGTCGGTACTTCAGATGTGTAACGTATGATACTGTCAACGGTGCATGATCTTTTGTATTTTTTTTTAAAGTGGTTTTGTTATTAAATCTAGTGACAAGGATATGTCTGCGAAAATACAGGATGTAATAAAAATATTTTTAATGAACGGATACAGCAAAAGCACACTCAACAAATGGATCAACACCAAAAATTCTAATAAGTACGGACATAAAAACAATATCATTACTCAAAATTATTTTAAAATTTCATACGAACTAAATATATTTGAAAGAATCAAATTTGAATCACACAATTACGGCATAACCTTAGCACCAGAAAAACTTCCTTGTTTGAATTACAAGATAAACTCATATAATTATAATAATATATGGAACCAAAAAAACGTAATTTACAAACTCATTGCAACTGCACTCCCCCAAATCCTATATAGGTGAAACTGGTAGAAATCTTAAGACCCGATTTAAAAAACACATAACCGCGATTAAATATAATAATTAAAACTCAGCTGTTGCTGTCCATTGTAACAACGGAGGTTGCCAAATCATTAAGGAAACCGTAAAAATTGTAATAAAAGAATCACATACGCAAAAAAGATGGTATGAACATCTAGAAATCCTTAAAAACAAAGACATTGTGATGAATAATAACATTCGCCAAAAACTACATGAAACTTGGTACCCATAATTGACCAAGAGAATCGCGAGGGGGGAGAGGAGTAGATAATTAATGTGCTAAAGTACGACAGTTTCTCGTTATCTATGCATCCTTCCATGCGGTACCCAGGATTCTTATAGGTCTCACTTTCACTTCCTCCTTCATTTTCTAAATTTCCCTACCACTCAAAAAAACCTTTTTTCGACCCTCCCCTCTCTTAACACCATTCTCACCCATTATCTCTTCCCTATCTCAAGACGATGCTTTTCTGTTACATCCTGTTAACTTTCCTATTTACATCTTGTGTATCACCACATCGTGTACAACTCTACACGATGTGTAAGTTAAAACAATTTTCTTATGTTTTTTCTATTTTACTGTGCACTTTCTTCACTTTATCATTCTGTCGTTCTCAAAATGTTTTCTATTGATCTTTCCGTAATTAAGGTCACGGTTTCCCAAATTTCATAGTCTTGCCTCTGCATCGTACCATGTATACTGGGATATTTTCCCAAGACTATGTACCATACCGTTATATTTGCAGTAAGTCCAAACTTTTTACATATATGTAGTTTGTTTTCCCTTTAATAAATCATTTTCCAATTTACCATTGTTTTTTAGCTTATACCTGTTAACCATAACCATCCATATTTTATCTAATGTCTCATAACCCTGTTGTTTCCTGTTTGTTCTTCTACAAATTTGTAACATCACGACGTTTTTGTACAAATTTGTATACATTATGCTAATATGTATATAATATTTTCCCCTATATAGTTGTAACACACAGAGTTGAAAAAGGTATAATAAGTATTATAAAATCGTTTTGACATGTATTAAACAATATAATTAAAAAAAAAATTAAACAACACCTAAAATTAAACAAAAAAGAAAATCAAAATAAAAGAATATTATATATTGTTGAATGTTTTTCCTTACTTCTACCTACACTTGATAAATGTTAACAACAGAGAGAGTAATTCTTTAAATAGTACCAGTACGATTTGTGAATCATAAATGAGTACAACTTAAGGCACGTCACGAGTTACATTTCAAACAAACATAAGAAAACAATAAATAAAACTATTACGATTTTGTTTCGAGTAAATAACTATTTAAAATACAGAATGAACAGTTAAAAAGGAAAATGAATTTATGAATAATTTACTTGCTACAAAGCTACCAAACATATACAGAAAATTATAAAAAACAACAATAAATTTAATTGCTGAGAAAATCTGTTACTACGTCGTCAGTGACAAACCTCACTACGTGAACCAATATTGTTAGCTAAAGTGTTCAGTACATCCTATTGCCGTTAGAGCCGCTGTTGCCGTGCCATTAAATTCAAAATGTAAAAGGTACGATTTTGGCAGTGGTATGACTTGAGCAACCTTACCCTACTATTAAAAATGATTGTTGAAGTGGTTAAAACCTAATTATAGCACACTTTTTATTTATTCAATTAAACAGGTGAACACACCAAAGACTGAGGTCATAATTATTGCCGATTTTGCAACGTTAAGTGTAAAGATACTTAAAACTTAATGAACTTAAAAAATTCTTATGACACTTAAAAATAGTTTCACATACACATACAAAAAAGAAAAATAAGTGCTAGAATCGAATGGAACTTAGTGTTAAAGTAATGGTGTTGATAATACAGTAAATCCTTGATGATAATTTAATCAATGAGTTAATTTCGAATTATTATTTAAAGATATTTTTAAGTAGATGTATTTTAAATCTGTCCCTCTGCTACAGAATAGTAAGTAGTTAATTTAAATTTATGCCTCGACTTTATGTTTAATTACTTTTTAAGACTAACAAAATATTAATAACATTTGCTTTTATTTCACAATTCACGAAGGACTTATATACTACAGGAAAATTAACATAATTAAAAATTCAGTATTCGATGTTTATTTGGTAGGCTTATTATCTCCCTTTTGTATTTATTATGATATAAAAGAGACAGTGTTTTAATACACTTAATTAATATCAGAAAATAAATTACATTTTCGGACTTACCGCATCAATCATCCTCTTCTTAATCTCATGATAAGAGACGCTTAATTTGTTAGCTTCATTTACGTTTCTTTTAAAAATACGAGAATGTTTCTTTGGATTTTGTAGAACTATGTTCATATAATAGGAATTGTTGGCTATATATACATACAAAAATATAAGGTATTAAAATTCTAATAATAGTTTCTCTTGCAACATTTTTCATTATTAAAAAAGTAATTTTTATCATTACATAAAAATATATGTTATGTTAAAAAGAAATTCATAATAACAATAATTTTTTTTGAAAAATGAAAAGTATTGTATATTTGAAAATACATAATTTGAATTAAAATGGCAGACAGCATATTTCACAATTTTAAACAAATATATTGCGAGAGACCGGACCTAACGTTTTTCGTCTTTGAAGCATTTTTTTCCCATTTTTATTACTGGAGAATGATTACATCTTTCTCTCCGGAGTCGTTTCTTTTCCTAGGGAACTCACCGGATGTGTCACTGGGAACTAATATCAAAAATTCCCGATCAATGAAAAAAGATAACGTGATTTAGAAATATAAAAAAAAAGAGTGACTCAGGAACAAGAAGGGAGTCCGGGAGTTCGCCAATCGCCCTTCTTGAGAAAGGATATTCGAGTGTGCTTTATCACCGTCGTTCCCCTGACTGTTGTTCCTTGTTTTTTGGACAATCGAGGTTCTCCCTCCAGGAATCCTATTCGGATTTCTCCGTCTAGAAGCTTGAATTTTTCCTACGAACTTGAACTTTTCTACCCGGGTGCACCCACTCCAAGACCGTCCGACGAAGTTCTGAATCGACGGAACAAGGTATTTATCGCCGCGCGAAAAATAAATGTAAACTTTCTCTCACGGTCAGGAATCCGTTAACCTCAGATGACCCTATATAGCTATAGATACTTTAACTCGTTACTAGAAAACTAAAGAGAATTCTCGGTTACTTTTTGTATTTGTGTGTAGATGTAAATAAATAAACTTGTACTATTCGTTCTAATTAAGTAGTAGTGTGCACTTCTTCCGATCCGCCATCTCTCAATCCTCCTCCATCCCGAATCAGATCGCCCGCGCACGTGCCGAATTTGCGGCCATTAAGGTTTCTGTGTCTATCCTACAAGACACAGTTATGTCAGTTCTGACGAGACACTAAAGAGATGCCGACTCTCTGGTCACAATATAAATAAAAACTAAAATGTCTTCTAGCTTCCGTCCTGTCTAATCATCAGGAACAAGTCTTCACTTTGCAGAGACTTTTTATTGTAGGCTAATGCCTCTGCACAAATATGTAAAATAGTTATAAGTAGGCTGACGATAAGCCAATTCCTTGTTTAAAAATATACATAAAATAGAGAATGTTGTTTTTGATGACACCGGTCAAGATGATTTTTGGCACACAGAAGAGAGAAATCGTGTCTAATAGAACTTTTTGTACTGATTTCATATATGTGATTGAAAGTCTTCTATCACCCTCTAATTTTCTGTAATCATAGACTTAAATTTTGCTCCTTGTCTGAAAGTCCATAGAAATTACATCCATAACAGCTGTGATGGATGCACTTGATCATAAACATAATACCATGGAATGGAGAGTTTTCATCGATTCTTCTAAGATTAGTCTTAAGGCAGTGATTTTACATAATGGAAACAAATTTCCTTCTGTGTCATTAGCTTATTCAACTAAAATGAAAAAAACCAAGGAAAATATAAAACTCTTACTTGAAAAAATTCATTATTACAATACAATTGTTTTGATCATATGTTACAATACAATTGATCATATGTTTTGATTTAAAAGTCCGTGCATTATTAATGGGTTTGCAGCTTGGCTATACTAAATTTTGTTGTTTCTTGTTTGAGTGGAACAGCAGAGACAAAAAAAATCATTACGTCAAGAAGGAATTGCAATACGTAAAATGTTTTTTCCTGGCCAAAAAAATATCATTCATATCCCATTAGTCAATGCTGACATGATTCTTCTACCTTCACTTTATATAAAGTTAGGATTTTTCAAAAACTTTGTCAAGGAAATGAATGTAAACAATGTTGGATTTCATTATTTAAAAAAAAATTTCCTCATATAAGTAATGCTAAAATCAAAGCTGGAATTTTCGTGGGCCCAAAATAAGACTAATTAAAGATGAAAAATTTGAAAGCTTGTTAAGCACAGTTGAAAAGTCAGCATGGAAGTCATTCAAAGATGTTGCACAAAATTTCTTGGGTAATCACAGAGCTCCAAATTACTGCAAAGTTGTGAATGAGCTCTTAAAATTCTACAATGATATGGATGTAATATGCCCCTCAAAATGCATTTTTTTGTATTCCCACTTGGATTTCTTCCCCGGCAATCTTGATACTGTCAGTGACGAACACGGGGGGGGGAGCTTTTCTATCAAGACATCTCTAACATGGAAAAAGATATCAGGACTAGTGGAATTCAAGAATGCTTGCTGATTACTGTTTGACACTCCACAGGACTTCTCCAAACGCCAAACATAGCAGAAGCTCCATATCTCGCCATTTTAGACAAGGTAAATAAATACGTGTATGCATATTGTCTAAATAAATATGTTTTACGTTGAAACTGGATGTCACAAAAAATCCAGACATAATGGAGAAAAACTGTTTACATATTTGAAAACTGCATAAAAAATTTTATTAGGATTAGGTATTTTCATTTGTGTACCCCCAAAAAAGCTTTCATTTTGTATCCCAGTTTGATTAGACAGGACGGAAGCAAGAAGATATTTTAGTTTTCTTCTATATACTTGGTTAAAATTATAATTAAATAATTTATTACATTGTTTCTTTTCATCTTGGCCCTCTTTTTTCTCTATGAGCACGAAGAGGGTCTTTTTATCATTCCCTTTGTGGTTCGACCAGGCTCACAACGGGGCAGCCTGATAGTGATGAGGGAATGGTCCTGACAAATCCTGGAAGGACTACTTCGGAAAACTCCTGAGATTTTTCGACCCATCTGGATTCGTTTCCAGATTCCCGAAATAGATGCATGGTCCGTATATTCCACTGGTCATGATACTCCCTATTCTTGAAGTGTTAAAATTTTACTAACGCTCTTGCTCCCACTGATGGCGCAGAGATCGCTGTTTGATCACTTTTCTGCTAGATTTGAATGGCTGTTTACGTACATAAGGGTTTTAATATGTAAATATATTAATCATTTTTTTGTTTTGTACAATACTTTTTCAAATGCATTAATGGTTCTTAACTGTTTTCTCGAATATTGTAATTAATTTCGCAGAAAAAAGTTAACTATAAACAATATACATTATAGGCTATATAGTGGGCTATATACATATACCGGTATATATATATATATATATATATATATGTTCTAACATAAATAATTATATATGTTAGAACACTTATGTTGCTAGGATAAATTATAATTTATCCTAGCAACAGATTCTGATAGCAATAAGATTACTGATTAGCCTACTTAAAATAAGTAGCTCAGAAATAATCGTAAAAACAGTGATACTATATTAAAACAAATAAATCTTTATTGCAAGTGGGATATTTTCCTTTTGTTTTTAGTTTTTGTTTTGATGTATTTACTGCATTCTTCACTTTTGTAAAAAAAATTAGTCTGATTACAATGTACAAATGAATAACTAGCTATTAAGTGCACTTCTATGACCAGCAGCAGTACATTCATATTGCAACCTCACTAACTGTGAATCGGCTAGGACAAAGTTCACAACATTGAAAAACTATTTTAATCAGAAATTATTTCAGCTGTATATTAACCACTTATCCATCCGGTCTAATTGTAGCGATTGAATACAATATTATTATATTATACACTCATACTGAAATCTTAATAAAGGAATTTAAGGTTTCTTTTATAAATTCAATCAATAAACCGCTAAGTTGAGGGAACCATTACATTTACTTAAAAAGAAATGTTTTCGGACCTATTTGGTCAAAGATCAGCTCTTCAAACANGCAATAAGATTACTGATTACTTAAAATAAGTAGCTCAGAAATAATCGTAAAAACAATGATACTATATTAAAACAAATAAATCTTTATTGCAAGTGGGATATTTTCCTCTTGTTTTTAGTTTTTGTTTTGAAGTAATTACGGCATTTTTCACTTTTGTAAAGATAATGTAGTCTGATTATAATGTAAAAATGAATAACTAGCTATAAGTGCACTTCTACGACCATCTGCAGTACATCCATATTGCAACCTCACTAACTGTGGATCGTCTAAGACAAAGTTCACAACATTGAAAAAATATTTTAATCAGAAATTATTTCAACTGTATATTAACCACTTATCCATCCGATATAATTGTAGCGATTAAATACAATATTATTATATTATACACCCATACTTAAATCTTAATAAAGGAATTTAAGGTTTCTTTTATAAATTCAATCAATAAACCGCTAAGTTGAGGGAACCATAACATTTACTTAAAAAGAAATGTTTTCGGACCTATTTGGTCAAAGATCAGCTCTTCAAATAGAACTTAGAATAAATAAATGTACAGATACATTGAAAGTTAAGTTTAGAAAATTTACATTTAAAATTTTATATAACTTAGAACAAAAATTTACAAATTAAAAATTAACATTTGATTACAAACAATTATAGAAGTTGTGAAATTCGAAAAACTGACTAATAGTAATGTATACTTTAGATATGAAATTCTTGGGCAATTCATAAAAATTTGAAATTTTTAAAATAAAATTTTCAAAAATTTATAAATACTCAAAAATTCATAAATACTCAAATTCATAAAACTAAAAAAAAAATTAAAAATCCATTTTTTTAATTAATAAAAGTAAGCTTAAAAGTACTGTAAAACTTTTTGAAAAATATTATGTTATATGACAGTCGAATACGCAATTGTTATATAACATAATAATATAATAAATGAACCTGCCTAAGAGCTTTATACAATTGAAGAAATTCGAATCACGTATCAATTACCTCAATGTTAAATGTAGACTTAGGACAAGAGTGGGCAATCTTTTTAAGTGTGCGTAGCAAAATCGTGAAATTTGTGATGCGAAATTTCTTAACTTCCCAACCGAAATTTTCGGAAACATATTACTATTTAAATTCTTTCCATATAATCAAAAATCCACATATTTACACACTTTAGAAACGCGATAAATTCTTTATGAAACACGAAAAAATATGTAGAAGGTATGGTTGCTGTATCTTCAAAATTCTGTGTGTAGCGTCCTTGCAATCGAAACAATAATTTTGATAGACGACCATACAGCAATTAGTTAGAAAACGTTACGGTTTATTTAAAACACTTTTTTTAAATTCAGATGCATTTCGGGTTAATTTGTATTTCCAACCCTTCTTCAGTGCTGTTAAAATTACAAAACACAAGGTAAGTTTTACGACATTGGCAAGTATGACGTAAAAAAGGAGGAGTAAACAATAACAAAAAAACTTACATGTCATATAATTGTTTACCCCTCCTTTTTTTACGCCATACTTGCCAATGTCGTAAAACTTATTTTTAAAATTTTCGCTGGATTATATTGTCAATATATAAAAAGACAGTCATTTTCCAAAAATATTTTGGAGCGATCACCATTTATTTCTTTAAAATGTTTCATAACAAACTTGAGGCGACCCGACCTTTCCTTTTAGGCTACATGGCCGCCTATATAGTTACTTAAAACAAAGAAATAATCCAATAAAAAATATATACAATTTGTAAAAATGTAGAAAAATTGGAATTGGTGACCTTACGACATCTTAGGCTTGCATCCTTCTCCATTCGGGAGTTTTTTTATATATTAACAATATTATCATCCAGCGAAAATTTTAAAATTAAAAAATTTCTGTGATAATTCGCCGCCAGAGGGAGAAGGATAATCTACATTTACCAGCGCAACTTTTAAGTAGATATAATGACCAGAAACTCCCGAATGGAGAAGGATGCAAGCCTAAGATGTCGTAAGGTCACCAATTCCAATTTTTCTACATTTTTACAAATTGTATATATTTTTTATTGGATTATTTCTGTGTTTTAAGTAACTATATAGGTGGCCATGTAGCCTAAAAGGAAAGGTCGGGTCGCCTCAAGTTTGTTATGGAACATTTTAAAGAAATAAATGGTGATCGCTCCAAAATATTTTTGGAAAATGACTGTCTTTTTATATATTAACAATATTATCATCCAGCGAAAATTTTAAAATTAAAAAATTTCTGTGATAATTCGCCGCCAGAGGGAGAAGGATAATCTACATTTACCAGCGCAACTTTTAAGTAGATATAATGACCAGAAACTCCCGAATGGAGAAGGATGCAAGCCTAAGATGTCGTAAGGTCACCAATTCCAATTTTTCTACATTTTTACAAATTGTATATATTTTTTATTGGATTATTTCTGTGTTTTAAGTAACTATATAGGTGGCCATGTAGCCTAAAAGGAAAGGTCGGGTCGCCTCAAGTTTGTTATGGAACATTTTAAAGAAATAAATGGTGATCGCTCCAAAATATTTTTGGAAAATGACTGTCTTTTTATATATTAACAATATTATCATCCAGCGAAAATTTTAAAATTAAAAAATTTCTGTGATAATTCGCCGCCAGGGGGAGAAGGATAATCTACATTTACCAGCGCAACTTTTAAGTAGATATAATGACCAGAAACTCCCCAATGGAGAAGGATGCAAGCCTAAGATGTCGTAAGGTCACCAATTCAATTTTCCTACATTTTTACAAATTGTATATATTTTTTATTGGATTATTTCTTTGTTTAAAGTAACTATATATGCGGCCATGTAGCCTAAAAGGAAAGGTCGGGTCGCGTCATGTTTGTTATGGAACATTTTAAAGAAATAAATGGTGATCGCTCCAAAATATTTTTGGAAAATGACTGTCTTTTTATATATTAATCGTAAAACTTACTTTGTTTTTTGTAATTATAACAGCACTGAAGAAGGGTTGGAAATACAAGCCAACCCGAAATGCATCTGAAATAAAAAAAGTGTTTTAAATAAACCGTAAGGTTTTCTAACTAATTGCTGTCTGGTCGTCTATCAGAATTATTGTTTGGATTGCAAGGACGCTACACACAGAACAAAAAACTAACAATATTTAAAATGTNTTTCGCTTCTAGGTTTCAAACGTGTAACAATGTACAAAAAATTAACAAGGTTAATACAAATAATTTAGTTTATAAAATTACCAAATTTGCACGCTCCATTCGTTGACATCACCATCGAAAGTGGACAAATGCATTTACTGATATTTTTGTTTTCATCATATTCACATTCAAGATTTTTCTTTTTACATTCCTGCGTTTCGTCATTAGTACAGTCACCTGAAATGTGTAATAATATAAAATTCAAAAATGTTATTATACAATATTTAGAAGTAACCCATTATTAATTTTCCGTACTTGAACAAATTCCATTTTCTAACTCTCTTAATCCTTCAAGACAAACACATTCATATCCTTCATCATTCTTTTCACATTGTGCATTTTTCTTAGAACAATCAACATCTCCTATTTCACCTTTCGCACAAAACGCTTTCTCTAAAATGTACATTATTTAATTAATCAAATTATAAAAATAAGATTAATATTTTTCCAGTAACAAACATTACTGAAAATTACTTTAAAACAAGTTACACAAGTTATAAAGTCTATTGACCTGACTTATAGTCGGTACGTCATTCATTTTAAAATATTTTTAAAAATGCTTGATTGAAGTTTTAAAATTTATATGATTTACCTATACAGGTGTTCCCATCTTTAGAGTATTCGTATTTTCCTGTACAATTACATCTAAATTTTTCTTTATCCCAAGATACACAATCCATTGGACAGATTTCTTCAATTTTTGAACTATTGCATATATCTAGTTAAAAATTAAATGTATGCATCAATTTTAACAAAAAATTTTTATTAATTACATAAAACTAAACATTAGTTACTAAATATACTTAGTAATTTTTCCGATTTTTTTAGCACTAAACGAGAATTTTAATTATTTTCATAGTAAAACGAGAAATGTCATAAGTCATAACAAATTTACTTTATAATGGTTCACATTTAATGTAACATATGCTGTTTGAGAAAAANTAGTTTCCTAAATTTCAAGATAAAAGTGTTATTAAATTACTGTCGAAAGTCTGTCTTCACGCTATAATGAATAATTAAACTAGATAGACCGATAGTTCAATCAATGTTAACTCGCTTATAGGCATAATTAAAATTTAAAATAATACTTTACCTCTATATGAGAAAGTAAAAATTATTAAAAATGAATATAAAAAAATGAAACCAAATTAATACTAAATAAATCAAACCTAAAAATAATGAAATAATAATTATCACTCTGGACTTTACACCGAAACCGAAACTAAAACAAGAATTAAAAATAAAATCAGAATTAATTAATATATATTCAGAAGAGATGATCGAAAGATTTGATCAATAGAAACTACTTTTAAATAAAGTAATTGAATTAATTTTAAAAACAAAATTAATTTTCTTACGATTGGATAAGAGCTGGAAATTATAAGATAAGGCATATTTCTACTACAAAATATGAAAATTGTATAAGATGATCCTCCCTACTCAACGGGTGTCTAGGTAATATTAAAGCGATTTAGCCAATCAGCAATCGTTGGCACATTAATTTCCCATCATTTTAATTAATTCTGATTTTATTTTTAATTCTAGTTTTGTTTCGGTTTCGGTTTCGTTTTCAGGTGTAACGTCCAGAGTGGTAACTATTGATATTATTTTATTGTTTTTAATTATTATTTTTAGTTTTAATTAATATGTTTGATTTATTTAGTATGAATTTAGTTTTATATTTTATATTCATTTTTAATAATTAACGGATTTTGTGTTCATATGTCAATTTGAATTTTAAAAATGTGTCTTTTGTTTGTGTTGTTATCAAGGGGATCGGAGTAGTCATGATAACGAGATTTTAGCGAAGTATTTTCTCTCGAAAGGGTAAAAACATTCGTATCAGATTATTAACCTGTATTAATTTTCGGCGAAAAGTTACCATTTTTACTGTATAAGTACTAGCTGTACCCGGCCACGCGTTGCTGTGGCTCAAAATGTATCTGTTATAAATGTATAACGAAATTCCTCCCATTCCCCATGGAGGAATTTCGAAAAATCTCTTCTTAGTGCACATTATCTTGACGTGCCCTATTAAAACGTAATCAAAAACGCAAAAAACCGCATCTAAAATAGAATAATAGAAGACCAGTTCTTCACGATAAGCCTTAATTTTGTCCCTCTCCCCGCGGGGGGGATTTTGAAATCTAAATAATATAAAAACGCGCGTATTAAAACGCAATCAAAACCGCAAAAAACGCATCTAAAATAGAATAATAGAATACCAGTTCTTCACGATAAGCCTTAATTTTGTCCCTCTCCCCCGCGGGGGGATTTTGAAATCTAAATAATATAAAAACGCGCGTATTCGAATGCAACGTTGTGTCAAAATTTCAAAGCAATTTATTACTATTGCATTTGAGATTATTTATTTGTTTATTGTTAATTTTTGTAGCGTGTGACTTTATTTCTGTTTTAAATTTAGTATATTTTCATTTTACTGTAGAAAATTCAACATTTAAATGATCGGTCATATTATTAAAATATTCATAAACTATATACTTACGAACACATTTATTGTTTTCGTGAACGTAACCTAAGTTGCATTCACATACACCATCTTTCAATATTCCATTCTCACAAGTTATATTATCTTTTCCTTCTAGATCTGTAATTGAATATAAAGCTTTAGAACTTTATGCTTACTTTTAGAATAATGTTACGTTTATTTACAAAATAACAAAAATATGGACACCACATTAGCCCCTTCTCCATTACATATCATACATGTAAAGGAAATATTCAAGTAAATACGTATATATATAATACTATTACATATTGGCATCTTAATTAACTTATAATTTCGGTTTATAGAATTAACGCTTAATCGGACAAGCATTTGTTTAGGATAAATCTTGATGACAAAAATAAATCAAGATAATCATAATTTGCTTCGGTTACTTAGGAATTGCTGTTTAATGGTAACTGTGGCTGATAGATAATGCACTTTTGTGATGTATGGCGAGGAGGCTATTTTTAGACCACTCAGTAACAAACATATGTATGAATATATATTTATTTGTCACTGAGTGAATTGGCAGTGTGGTAATTCTACTCGTTTTGACTGCTAGACAGTCATTGCTACAGTATTGTCATTGCTACAAGTATGTATTGTTTGGATCGACTCATTTAGTAGCAGAGAGCTATATTCAGTGTAGCGATTTTTTTCAAAATTGATTTTAATTGAAATTTTACAGAATTAACCCTAAATATTCTACAATAAAATCAAAGGCTAGTACAAATAAAGCTATTTATCTAAGTTAACAGTAGAATAGACTTACAATAGCATATCCGATACAACAGCATGATAAACTACAGTAGCTACAAATAAATATCACATTATGGACAGTAGTGAACTTTCCAAACATAGGAGTGTTGAGATAAATCAATAGTTCTCTATCGTAACTAAATGAAATGTACCTGTTAGTAATCAAAAGCTGAAAATAAAGTCGGTAACATGCTAAAAAGCTGATTCCTTTGCTTCGAAATATAAAGAGTTAATTGTGTAGTTTCGACCAGAGTCTGAAACTTCGACCAAAATCTGTTTTAAAGGAAAACGTTGTTTTAAATAAAATATATAATAAAACCAAATGTCACGCGAATGCACTAGTAATATTTACAACAGGGAAAAAATGCTTGACTCTGAATTACGACGGATTCGCGACAAATTCAATAAACATATTTGGTCGGTGTTCGATCTTTGAAATCTGTCTGGAATCAGGACCAACCGGAAAGGTTTAGGATGGAGATTACGACCAATTAAAACGTCCGATCGGGGATGCGAAACCCGTAACAGACCCGAATTCAAGGACCAATAGTAAGTATTATCTGTTTTTTTTGGTAACTACGTTTTAGTTATTTTTATTTTTACGATATTTTTCATTCTACAATTCTGTGTTTGCAGTACAGTTTTTTTTTTTTATCTAAAATAATATTTATTTGTCTCGTCTAGGTCCTGAAGTTCCTTTTCCATCTCAGGAATGATCAAAGTACACAAGTCATTTCCACCTGGAACGAAATTTTTTCCTTTCTCTAAAGTGTCTTTCATCTATGTGATATGTGGTCGTCATATCGTTAGTTAGCCTGACAGAATAGGCCATGAGATAAATTCTGCTTTGATATAAAGAATTATTATTTTTTGATAAATTGACGATAATATCACATAAGGTTTATGTAAAATAAATGACTTTTAATTTTAATTCAACTATATATGTGCATACATTTATTGTAATGCTTTCTAAATTAAAATATTCCAATTACAAAATGTAATACTGTAAACTAGCTACGGGAACAACAACTATAAAATAAAATTTTATATAAAACTTCATATAAACTTAAAATTTTATATTATAATAAAAATCTTTTCCATTATTATTGCCTTTTATTAGCTTTCGTTTTAAGCTATGCAGCGCATAACACGTCATTAACGTTTACGAAAATTTAGCAACTTTACATTTGGGGTCAAACCAATACCTTAATTAGTAATAAAAATAACGGGATTTTAATGCTTTTGTTATCACAGATTGTAATATTCAACGATTGATTTAAAAAACTAAATATTACTTGCACAATTAAATAATAATAAACCAAAGGTTTATAATTTAAAATTTGTAAAAATAAAATAGATAAAATTCGTTTAAAAAATGATATGGAAAAAGAGGAATACCAAATAATCGAAGTTGTTAGTCTTTTTAATTTATTTAATTTAAAATATGTTTTCCACCTCAAATTAGTTGTGTCTTGCCCCTGCACATAATACTTTCCTTTAACAATAGAGTCATACCAGTCACTAACTCCTTTCAGGGAAAAATTTTTGAATTGAAATAACGTGACTTCAGGTTTGCATCAGAAGTTTGTATATAGTTAATCAAGAACTCCTGCCCTAAGTTTTCTACATCTAGTCTTGAATTTCATTTATCTAACATTGTTTGANCGAGTAATAAAAATAACGGGATTTTAATGCTTTTGTTATCACAGATTGTAATATTCAACGATTGATTTAAAAAACTAAATATTACTTGCACAATTAAATAATAATAAACCAAAGGTTTATAATTTAAAATTTGTAAAAATAAAATAGATAAAATTCGTTTAAAAAATGATATGGAAAAAGAGGAATACCAAATAATCGAAGTTGTTAGTCTTTTTAATTTATTTAATTTAAAATATGTTTTACACCTCAAATTAGTTGTGTCTTGCCCCTGCACATAATACTTATCCTGTTAGATAGATGACCGGCAAGAGTCTATTTTTAACTCCTTCAGGGGGAATCTTGAATTTAAATTGCGTCATTTCCGGTGCAAAACGGGAGTTCTTATATAGTTAATCCGGCCTCCCGCAGCTAAGCTTTCCATATCTGGTCTCGGCTTTCGTGTATCTATATCCGTTTTGGAGATTAATAAAGGAAGGACACAGACAGACAGTGGGAACTTATGTACAGTAAAACCTGTCTATGGCGACCACCCACGGTTCCTTCAAAAAGTGGTCTTTTAGACAGGTAGTCGTCCAATACAAGTAGTCCTGTAATAACGTATTTCCGTACGTATTTTGCGCACTTTTTAGCCATTTCTACTAAGCAAAACTCCAGATGAGCAAAACTAAGCGAATTTTTTCAACGATAGGGTTACATTGGTATTGTATTTTATTCTTATCGGATACTGTAAGTCGATTTACGAGAGCCGTCGTGATTTTATAAGACAGATTTAATACCAATATTTTAAAGATTAATACAATAGTTGCATTTTCTCGATTATAATGCACACTTTTTTTTCCGACTTAATTAATTCAACTTGGTTGTTTTCGTTCGCTCCTTAGTTAGGCCTATTACGTCATCGATATACAAGCGCGTCGTATCTCTACATCACTTTGGTTTTGGTATTCGTTAGTTTAATCTTATTTTAACTTTAAAAACACTGTATTTTTTCATTTAATATTTTCTTTCTGTTTGTCGCAATAAAGT